ATAGGGGCTGATGGGAGGCATGCAGAGGAATAGTCTTGCAAGGCTATAGCTTGGCCAAGAAGGTTGGGTGGGCTTCGTGGAAGGTAGGGCTCAGAGAGGGGGTAGCACCTTCTTCCCTTCTTCACAAACCCTCCTCACACCGCTCTGCCCTCCGCCTGCTCTTGAGCACTCAGTAAGCTTGTCTTACTGAGCCAGGAAGGCAAGGAGATACTGCCCTCCTCACTTCCTCTGCTGCTTCTCCACCTCCTTCATCCTCGTCCAAAACCCTGCAAGTTGATGTCCCTATAATCAGGTCTTGCCCCAGGGTGACTCAGTGGCCCTGCCTCCTTAAAGAATGGCTTCTGGCCACTGACCTTTCTCCCCAAGGCTTGTCTTCTCCCAGTTTCATCTTCCTGAAACCAAAACTCTGAGGGTGTTACACCCCTGCCTAAAATCCCTCAATAGCTCCCTGTGCCTGCAGAATTAAGATTCAGCTCCTGCACTTCTCCCAAAAAGCTTTAGCCTCAGAACCAAAGTCACCTCCCCCAGGCAGTCTCTCCTGATCTTGCCTCCCTGCAGAGTCCGGATGGAGTATTTCTCCGTGTTACTTAAAGCCACTGTGGTAGGCATCACCACGTGTCATTACTATCTTCTGAAATGTCTTTTTCCCTTTCCCCCCCGTAAGAAAGAGCTTTGGAGGGCGGAGACAGTCTCATTTTTGAATGCGAGCCCAGTGAGAGGATGAGGGTCCCCCAAGAATGTAGGGCTGAGGAGGTGGTGCATGAGACAGAGGCTCAGAGAGGCAGGTATATGAATGGAGCTCCCTGTTTGATAGATAGGGTGTGGGGAGAGGGTTTGGATAGGAATGGGGGATCAGGGTGGGTTGGCTGAAAGTCAATGAGGGGTGGAGAGGAACTCACCATGACCCAGAGGAGGGATGCCCTTGGTATTGGGGTGGTATCTACCCTTGGAGGAACTAGATTCAGTAAATTGGGGGTGGGGGGGCGGTAAGTTGGTAGGGGTGGGGATGGCAGTGACAGGGAATGGGGCCTCAATGAGGGGGTGACAAGGGCTTCACACTCTCCCAGGAGATGTCTTACTCCTGGTGCCCAAGGTCATCCCCCATAGGCCCCGTGGGAAGATCCAACATTCTTTAACTCAGCTGGGAGCTTAGTTTAGGCCTTCACTTTTTTCTCATCTGGGCCCAAATGCATTCTGAACTAATTTATTTACCTCCCACCTCAAGCCACCTGCCCTCTGTCGGGCAGCTGGACCTGCTGCTCCCCTGATTACCCATGGCTCAAGGCAAGTCAAGTGCAGATTCCTCAGCCTGGTGAGTACAAAGCACCCTGCCCCACCATCTGACCTCTGCCACTTCCGGAGCATCGTCCCCCTAAAACGCTCCCTAGGACCCAGACAGCTGTCCGTGCTCTGTCCTGAGAACACAATCCTTGGCAGCACAACCCTTCTTTTCCATAGGAAAGATCCTCCATGGATAAAATAGATATGAGCACAGCTGCCCCAGTTAAAACCCTAGAGCTCCCCAGAACCCCTCTTAGAAACCATTTTTCCATCTATGACTCCTAGCTGTACCCTATTTCCTGAGCAAACAGTCTCTGTTTCCCCTCAAGCCCACACAGGTTCACACGCTGGCCCCTCTGCCTGGAATGCCTTCACCCTCATCCACTCCCCACCCCTTGCCTACAGATTGTCTACTGGTTTCTAAAAACACAACTCAGAGGTACTGGTTCTGGGCCCTCCCAGCTCTCCACCTTCATTCTGTTGTCGCATGGAGACACGAGATTGAGATTGTCCCCCTTTCCCCCCTTCTCCGGGATTCTTTTCTCTGACTAAGGCCACGCTCCATAGGTTGAGTGTTGGTAGAATGGCACATGGAATGAATGGGCTTCAGTGAGGGAAGGTCTAGTGATGATCAGTGCAAGAGGGGACAAAAGCTCCAGATGGAGGATGGGGCTGTGAGAAAGGACAGAAGGAATGGGGCTTCATGGGGACAGAACTGAACGAAGAGGCCAAGGAATCTGATGGGAAGGGTCTCAGTGAGGAGGGGCACTCACTGAGAGTGTAAGGGATGGTGAAGGAATGAGGGCTCCATGAGGGGCAGGAAATGTAGGTGGGAAGGTGGTCAGGAGAGGATGGATGCTAGTGAGGGTGAGTAGCAGGAGGCTTGATGTGGGAACATGTCCTCAGTAAGCAGAAGTGGAGAAAGACGCCCTTTGAGGGTTCATAACTCTTGGCTAAAGAATTCTTTGCTCCGCCAGGCGATTTGGCTCAGAAGCCGAACATCGACCTATGAACCAGGAAGTCACAGTTTGATTCCTGGTCAGGGCACATGCCCAGATTGTGGGTTTGATCCCCAGTGTGGGGCATGCAGGAGGCAGCCGATCAATGATTCTCTCTCATCATGATGTTTCTATCTTTTCCTCTTCCTTCCTCTCTGAAATCAATAAAAATATATCTTAAAAAAATTAAATTAAAGCCCTAACCAGTTTGGCTCATTGGATAGAGTGCTGTTGGCCTGTAGACTGAAGGGTCCCAGGTTCGATTCTGGTCAAGGGCATGTACCTTGGTTGCGGGCACATCCCCAGTAGGAAGTGTGCAGGAGGCAGCTGATCAATGTTTCTAACTATCTCTCTCTCTTCCTCTCTGTAAAAAAAAATCAATAAAATATATTTTTAAAAATTTTAATTAAATTAAAAAGCTTTAAAAATTTTTTGCTCAACTTCTGCCCCTCAATGCAGGGAGGTCATCACTCATAACCAAAGTCAGCCATTTTGGGGCTCAAAACTTGTGTGTGACTTTGGATCAGAATTATATTGGTTGGCTTCTGGGGCCCTATCAACACTCAGTGACAGGATGCTGGACAGAGCCAACAGATTTGAGGCTCATATTCATAGCAAGCCTGCCTCTGCCCCGAAGGCTGCCCAGGGCCCTTCCAGGAGGCCAGAGAAGCCAACACAATTGTCTGGCTCCTCTCTCTTTTCTCCACCACTTCCCTGGACACCCTAGGGCAAAATGGTCTGCGCTTTGTTTAAGTAACAATCACATACCTCCTGAAGTCAACAGATAGCTTGATATTTCACAAAGGATTCACTGCCTGTATACACATATCATCTCATGCAAGCCTCACTATATCCCTACACGCACTTGTGGCTTAAAGGTTATTCTCTAAGCAGTACTGCCCAGCAGTACGCACACTCATCTCTCTCCGAGTTCATGTCCCTCTTAGACTCTCACTGCACCCCAAGTTTTTCCCCTCACCTTACCCCATTCTCTGATCTCCCTATCAAGGATGTCTGTCACACGCCACTTGGTAATAAAAACTGGGTTACTGCTGCCGAGGCTGTGGGATGTGATATATCAAAAGCGTCATAACTGCTGTATTCGATCGGTCATGGCTGGGGCCACGCCCTTTCTGATGGCCAGGCCAGTGCTTTTTTTTTAGTACAATGTTTAGAACAAGTCTGGCCTCTGATGTAGGTGGGTGTGTGGCTCTGCACATGTGAGGGACAGTGTGATCACCAGTGCACATCACAAGAGAGTGAATGGCTCCATTCATGCTCTTTCTCTCATCTTGGAAATGGAGGAGATATTATAAACCGCTAAACTGCATCTGGCCCGTGGAGTCCAAAATGCTGGCTGCGACAGATGAGAAGGGAGGGAAAATCAAGGTTTCGATGCTAATTAAACCTAACCGTCTCTAATTGTTTGTTAAGCCAGGGATTTTCAGCTTCACCAGTTCTCGGAGCTTCTGTCCTGGGCTGGGTTCTGCCCTTGGCTGCTCCCATCGACATTCAACCCAACTCTTCTGCCTTTCAACCTTTGTTGGCAGCCTGGGTCTCCGGGCCTCAAAAGGGAAGCCAGAAGTGGCTGGGCCAGGCTTCGGAGGAGCTGCCTGCCCATGTGTGTGACCTCTCTGATGGGGATGTTGAAAGACAGGCCTTGCGGTCGAGCCTCAAGTCTGCCACACAGGCCTCCACCTCACTCCTGACACATCTCTCACATGCAGCGGCCACACCGATGGGCTGATACAGAGCCCCCATCACTGGAAACATTGAGCGGAGGCTAGAGGACCTGCTCTTGGGAGAGCCTAGAATGGGGCTCTGAGGGACTCTGTGAGGGACAGCGAGGGCAGCGTGGACAAGCGCAACTTGAACTCTGTCGAGCTCTGTTTTCAAGAAGACTGGGCTCACAGGAAGTAGGTGTGTGACAGTCCTTAGGACTGTCATCTCTTCCCTTCTCCTAGCCTCAGTTTCCCCATCTGTACAATGATGGTTTTATTTTATTTTGAGAACCATTTCTTCCATTGATATCGTATGTGGGATCTTACAGGAAGGAGGGAAAAGCAAAGTTGCTCTGGTTGGAAGGGTGATAGGGCCTGACTCCTGCCCACTCGCCTCCCCTTCCATCCCCCAGTGCAACTCCGAGACTCCCCTTAGGCAGGGTTCAACACCTGCCATAGGAGTGGACAGTTTCATGAGCTCCCAGCTCCACCGTGCTTGCCCCATGATCTGGGCAGGGAAGGCTGCTGCCTACCACCAGGTGGGCAGAACTCCTGGCCCAAAGGCTGGAGGCTGCACTTCAGCCACCACTGAAAGAAAGAGCCCTGCAGTGTCTATGAGGAGGGAACCAAGCATCCTGGAGCAGAGGGACAAGGGGGTGGGGGGTCATCTCCATGGATACCTCACAGAGCTGGTGTTACGATGTCAGAGGGCATAATCCACACACTGGATCCTCCCAAGAGAGGGGTTAATCTAGAAAGCAGAGTCTACAAAGGGGGAAATAGACAAAGGGTGTGGTCTACAGAGTACACAGTCTCAACAAATAAATCCGCAAACTGGATAATCCACAAACAGGATAACCTATCGAGTACTCCGCACACGTACAAATCGGCAATAGTCATCACAGAATAAAGCCACCGAAGGCCCTCTAGCCCCCCAAGGAGCCCCCTACCATGCCCCTCGTTCCAAGGCCCTCCATGGCCCCGCCCCGCCATTACTCACTCCGCCTCTGTCTCTTTCCCTTGGTCCCCCGGCTGCCAGCAGCGAGATGCATCCAGCTCAGAATGAGGGCCACCACACACAGCCCAAGCCGCATAGTCACTCGCCAGCTCCAGGCCCCTGGCAGGAGGGGTGTCTTCGGGGTGATGGATGGCGCAGGGCTCTCGCTAACGCCTCCCGGGCTGGGTCAGCAGCAGGAGGCCCAGGCCTGGGCCGTGTCCCAATTCCACCATAATTTCAGCTGAGGAGTCCACTTCTCTGTCAGCCTGTAAGGTGGTCCAGAGAGCTTTCCTCAAAGGCACTCGGCAGGGACACCTCCAAAACCCAACCTGTTGGGGGAGGAGAGAGAAGGATTAATTCTGAGGGGCCAGGAGGGCGCCCTTCCCCCCCCCCCCCCCCCATTTATGCCTCCTATCATCCTGTCAAGGAGACTATGAGAAGTCAGAATGTTTGGACATTATAAGTTGCCCACCCGGCACCCCTATAAAAGAAATTTGCTCCCTTTCCTGTGTTGCAGAATTCCCTGGGACTAGAGCTGGCTACTCAAGCAGCTGGCATGCGGTGGATCCTCAAACCAAGCTTGTGGGTCACTGGGAACCAGTTGGCCCCACCCCTGCCCAGTACTGGCCAGCTCTGACAGAAAGCCTTTCGGTCTACTCTACAGACCTCATGCTGCATGCAGTTACATCGTGTCTCTTGAAGATGAGCTCTCTGTCCTTCTGTGAGCGACCCCTCAACTTTCTTTTCCTGGTGTCGAGTCACCCCTGTGCCTTTCACCTGTCCTGGAGCTACAACAGTGGCCCCGACAAGCCAGCAGAGCCTGCGTGGCCCTCTGGGCTTGGCGAGAGGAAAGGAAGGAAGGCTTCCCCAGGCCACAGAAACTCTGACACAGCAGGCCTGGCGGGCCTGGCCTTTGTGAGAGGATAAAAGAGGCAGCTATGCCCGCCCTGGTCGGAGACCCAGAGAATGGGGATAATCCCCAGCCCAGTAAGAGCCAGGTCTCCGGACTGCTGGCTGGTGATGGGGGCAGGGAGAGCCGGTCCCTCCCCAATCAAATGTGTCTGGGAAGTTGGAGCCCAACCTGGGAGTCAGAGGGTGAAACCCCGCTGCACACTCACAGGAACACGTGCTCCCCACACACAGCAGAGGCCAGCCCATGCATTGCCCCACACCCACACACTCACACTCACAAGGGGACAGGAGGAAACAGCGAGCCTCCAGGAAGCTTTGTAGATGCCAGGGAAGTATCACCCTCCCATCCACAGGTGAGAGATCTTTGGACAAGTCACAGCCTCTCTGAACCTCAGTCTCCTCATCTATAAAATGGGGACAGATATGTCAATTTCACAGGCTTGCTCTGACAGTTGGCTGAGTTTGGGTTTACAGATGAGAAATCTGTATTGCTGAAGTGGGGGTGCCCCCCACGATCCCTGTCCCAATCCTCTCCCCCTTGGCCTCTCAGGAGGACGCCGGAGAGCCCACCTGCATGGGAGATAAATCATTATCCCACAGGGGAGCTTAGCACCTCCCTCCGCTGCCTCTCCCACCAGCTTTGAAGGCCAGACACACTCAAGTGGTTAAGCTGCCTGTGAGAAGTGTTTACACAAGGCTGATGGATCCCACCTGGTGCGAGGGCCAGCCACCCCCAATGCCTGTCAGCTGCCAGCCCCTACCTGCCCCTCCAGCACGCCCTGCATGACCTGCTAAAGCCTTCCCACCCTCCCCAGCCCCCACTGCACATTTCCATCCCCTTCAGTGTATCAAACTGGGATCTTCCGTGCCAAGTATATGGCCTCAGAGGTTGGCCATAGAGCATGATGGTCAAGGGCATAAACTTCAGAGTCAGACTGTCTGGTTTCAAATGTTGGCTCTCCTACTTATTAGCTGTTCTTGAACCTCAGTTTCCTTATTTGCAAATGGATTTTTGTTGTGAAATATACATATATATATATATATATATATATATATATATATATATGATTTCAGAGAGAATGGGAGAGGGAGAGAGAGATAGAAACATCTATGATGAAAGAGAGAGCCATATCTCCTGCCCACCCCCTACTGGGGATTGAGCCCGCAACCGGGGCATGTGCCCTTGACCAGAATCAATCCGGGACCCTTCAGTCCACAAGCCAATGCTCTATCTACTGAGCCAAACTGGCTAGGGAAGTTGCTGTTTTTTATAGCTTAAATGAGTTAATACATGCAACTGCTGAGAATGGTGCCTGGCACATAAGGAAGACAATAATATTTGTTGTGTTTTCTGTGACCAAGACTTTATTTTGTGCCTACAATCCAATGGTCATCTAAGAAGTAATATAAACAGTTTTGTATCCTCTAGATACGTATCTTAACAGAGCCCTGTTATGCAATTTCCATATTTGTATTTTTCTTTATCATTGATCACCTTGGCCCCAAAGAGATCACTCAAAGTGATAGGGTTAACCTATAATGGCAGCATTTTTCAAACTGAGGTCTGAGGACCCCAGGCAGATGCACTGGGCAGACCCTGGAGGAGAAAGAAGACCACACCAGACACACCTGGTGGTAAACCCCGGGTCTGGGAGCCCTTCTCTGGTCTCACTGTGGGGTCAGGACTCCTGGGGTCTGGGTGCAGAAAAGGCCTCCTCTGACTCTCCGAATCCCCTCTGTCTGCCTAGCACAGAACCTGGCACTCCAGGGTCAGTGCTCAGCAAAGGTTAGCTCACTTCCTCTACTTCCCTCTACATTTTACCCCCACCTCCAATCTCCCAAGTCTTAGCTGCAGCCCATCTTGCCATGCTCACCCAGTCCTGGCCAGCGAGGACCTTATGGTTTATTTCCACCTGAATCACCATCAAACCAGGATCTCAGCTGGGAAGTAGGGAGGAGGATCCAGATCAGAATTTCTCTGGAGCAAGGGACACCGGCCTCTGCCACCCATCACTGGATAGGCAGAAATAACCACTCAATATTGCCTGGACTGCTGACTTTTTTAAAAGTTGAAAATTCAGAACTTTAGGTAAAATCTGATTTAAATAACTGGGTAGGTCTCAGACTAGGAACCCTGCAACACTCACCCCCTACACACTTGCAATGGACACACACACAACCATGAGGACAGACTGAGAGAGGAGGTAGGAGCTGATAAGTTCCTCATTTCTATTAGTTGCTCCGCCAGCCTCATTTCTATTAGTTGCTCTGTCTGATTTCCCTGGTCCTTTGGGCTACAGGGCACAAGCAGTTCGTTTCTTTGAGGACCATGACTCTGCGTGGCAAAGCCAGCAGTGGGACCTGTTGGCAGTGATCAGGGTCTCGGACATCGGTGGGGTGAGGAGGGGCATTTTGTGTTCTCCAGGATGTGGGTGAGGGATCCACACTCAGCACCTGCCGCGTGCTAGGTCCTCATTTACTCCTCGGGGAGGAAAGTAAAAGCCTCCCCATTTCCCTGGCGCCAAGAAGTTAAGGGTCTTGTTGGTGACCACCTCCTCAGTGACCAGCCGGTTTGCTATCTAGACGGGGAGCTGGAGGGTGAGGCAAGAGGCTGGGAGCTGGGGCAGGGGGGTATGACCCAGCCTGGGGAAGGTGGTGGGAAGGGCTAGAGGCAGAGGCAGACCTGGGGCAGGAGACGGAGGAGAGAGGAAACACGTGCCAGGTGGTCCTGTGGTCCAGGAAGAGGAGGACGCGGGCTAGGGAGGGGGACGTAGCTGGGGGTGGAGCTGAGGGCGGGGACTTGTCCCACCGCCCCAGTGAGGGCTCAAATACCCTTCACCTTCTTGCCTGCAACACCATCAGGATAGATTAGTATTCCATCCGGGGCCGGACACAGACCCAAAAATGTAAACCATCCACATCATTTCTCATCAGCCCTCCCCGAGACTCGCTGCGGGTGCAGGGTTTTGGCCGCGGAGTGGGCTGGCGGGTGGAGGCCGAAGAATTGCGGGGCAGCGGGAGGAATCAAGGGCGTGCCTGTGGGACCCGTGGGGATGAGAGTGCCCCCCCGGGGGGGGGGCTAAGTCAGGCAGGTCCTGACTGTCCCCCATTCGCCCCCCAAAACGGAGAGCAGCAGGGAAGGCTGCTTCTCATCCCTTCATCTCCTCTCCAAGCGTGTAAATCTCTCTCTCTCTCTCTCTCTCTCTCTCTCTCTCTCTCTCTCTCTCTCTCTCTCTCTCTCACACACACACACACACACACACACACACACACACCATACGCCCCTCCATCACCCCGGAGAGGCCCGACAGGTGCAGGGGGAGGAGAGGTGGACCTGAGGTCCCCTGGCTGCCCCTCAAAACCCAAGAGCACTCTCCACGCCCCGAGAGGCCAGTTCCTTCAGAAAACTCCTGCAGCCGAGTGCTCGCACCCACCACCCGGGAGCCCGGGGCAAACGTACAACCTCCCTCTCCCCAGCCAAGCAATGCCCTGCGACCCTCCGCGACCTGCCCCGCGGGCCATTGCGCCGCGCCACCCCGCAGTGCGAGGGGGCGGCCACGCAAGCCCCTGCCACGTCGGACCGGGCCGAGCTGCGCGGCTGGGGTGGGGTGACCCAGGACCATAGGATCGGAGGAATCGCGTGCCGAGACCACGACCCAAAGCCTCTGGACGGGGGTGATGTGTTTAGGGCTGGCGGACGTGGGGCGCACAGAACCACCAGTGCAGACGGCCATCGGGGCTGCGGGATGGAAGGGAACCGAAGCAGCAACTGGGAGGGGGCTGCCCACTGGCCCAAAGGGTGACCCGGGGGGCTAGGGCGGCAGGACTTGCAGGAGGGGCTCCCAGCGGCGCCTCTTCCGCCCTCGCCGACCAGAGAGCCGCCAGAAGTCCTCTCCCTCTCGCCGTCCGCTCGCCTGCGCCCCGACGGGAGAGCCCGCGGCGCCCAGACCCCGGGGGAGCGGCGCCGGGAAGGAGCTCCGGGCAGCTCAGGGGAACTCACCTCCGCGCCGCCAGCCCGACGGGAGCAGACCCAGGAGGGGCAAGGGCGCGCCCGTCCGCCCGCCGCCGCCGCACGACTGTCCCGGGCTCCCGCGCGCTCCGCCCGCCGGCTCCCCGGTTGCTCAATCCCCGAGCGGCTCACGCCCTCCGGGGCCCGCGCCCCACCCGGCGCATCGGTCCCCCGAG